AAGAACTTAGGCAATATAGATCTAAACCGACATGACTCAAGGCTAAATTTGTGTTTGTTTTTTACCTGTGATCAAAAGATCTCAGGGCTCTTTATTGTTTTAATTTATCACTTAAAACAATGACAAGACTATAATAAAGCTCTAAGTTATTGTTGTTGAAAAATTAATCACCCTCTAGCCAACCTCAGATAACAAACAGCCATCACCGAGCCCAGATTCTTAGGTCCTGCCAGAGTTTATACTCCCATGGTACAACCTTAAAGAACTGTCACATCCATAGGATGAGTTAAGGAATAATAACAATCATGACCAATCCCACATTTATATGGTGTTTTCAGGTTTACATAGCACACTGCTCACAGTTTTGTGAGGTGAACAGTTTTACTAACTGAAGCTTGATGTGATTCAAGTGATTTGATCAACGACACATAGTGTTCAAGTGTTCAAGGTCATATATAAGCCTATATTCCTTACTCCAGGTCTGGAGACATAATAAAATAATAGCTTTTACTAGGTACAGGTTTTTTGGTGTTTTGATTCCACAGAAAAAAATACTAAAATGGGAACCAAAGAAAGTTTCTTGTCAGTATTTAAATTAGTAATTTAAATTTGAACATTTCAAAGAAAACTCCTAAATCACCAACTAAATTCTCATATCAGTTACTCAAAGGAGGCAAATATTTTTGTAAAAAATTTATTTCTCTGTAAATACAAATCCAAACATCAACAAACAATACTCCAGTGGAAAAATACTAGCCATTAACATTGAAAACTTTCTTTTTATTTAATAAATAGAACTTTGGCATTCAAAATTCTAGCTGTAAACCCTATTTTTTAAAATACAAACCCCCCCCCAAAACACACACAAAAAAACAAAAACAACCCCTTTACACAAAGAGGCAAGAATGATAGGACTGAAGGCATAAGCCATCCAGTGGCTTCACTTCCTTTTTTTACAACGACTGCATTTCAATTAAGTCATGACAACTGTATTTACACATGAGGTATTCTGAATGGTTCAAAAACTGAACCCAATTTACTAAAACTACCAGTCATAGAGACTGATCTAATGATACACACTGCTGTGCTTTTATAAATGTAACTGCCTAGCACCCTACCTCTCACACCTATGCAATACTGTAACTGATAGATACAAATGAATACATTCTGATGGAGATTCCTGCTCATAGGGGTCAAGAGCTCAGCTCCAAAGACAAATGCCTAGGACCTACTCCTACATTTATTAAATATTTCTCCTTGTTGGAAAAAAAAAAAAAAAGCTTAAGAAAGTCTAATTAGAGAAGAAACAAGGTGCAATAATTATCGACATTCTTAAAGCTTATGTAAAATGGAAATGAACATGTGTACTGCAGGCAAAAAGGCACAAGGGTGCTGACTGTATACAAATGCAGAATTAATATTGCTAATGAGTTATCGATTTGGAAATCTAACCATATTCAATATTAATATTTTAATTAAAAAGGTAAGTGGATCCCAAAATTTATTTTTCCCCTCTAAGGCAAATGCCTTTATGGAAAAACAAGATTAAAGGTGAGCAAAATTCCACAGCAAGATCATTGGGGATTAGGACAGGTATAGCTGTCTCTTTATATACTAAGTGGGAAACCTTTTCTCTTGCTTATGGAGAATAGAAACAAACTGTCAAAAATGGAAAGAGAATTAACTTTGGCTTTTGTGGCTGCATCTACTGGCAGTTTCAAATTGTTTAGCCTGAGTGTGGGGATCATTCTAAGAACTGCTTATTACTTTAATTACAAATATACAATGATACAAACCAATACAACAGATGCCAATGACACAAGCTAGATGCGTGCCGAAGCAACAGCTACACTACATAAATACGTACGGTTCAGGGCCTCAGCTGTTCTTTGCTCAAAGAACAACTACTGATATTTTAAAGTACATTTTTAAATACAGTAATTTCTGTAAAAAAATATGCTCATCAATTCCTACAAATTAATCATAAAGCCATATATAGGTTAATAATTAAGCCCACTAAGACAGAACTGTATAGTATCCATTATCATCAACTTTTTTCCAGCCCTTGAGACTGTCTCTTAATAGTTACTGGAAAATTATCACGACTAAAGCAATTTAACAAACTGTCCATGACTAAAATTATGCCACTGTTAATATTAAACAACCTTGTTACATATGAGAAATGGGTCCACAAAGTGTTTTCAATCAGGTAAACAATCCAGTATATCTTACACCATCAAAGCTTATTCTTCTTCCAATCTGAGAGGCCACTGTAAATGAATATAGATTTGCCAAGAGCTCAATAATACCAAAGAGTATTTGCTGACATCAAATGAGTGATAACTATTGTGCCTGTGAGGTCAGGTACTTTGATCTGCACAGATTAATTTAGGCCTTTGACTGAGATGCCTGCCATTTATCTCCCTGTTTTAAAGTGAAGGAAGCAGACTAAATTCACATTTCAAAAATCAAATGACCAACATTCAAAGGTTAATACAGTCTGAGTATTAAAAGGCCAGTGCCTAAGAAGTAAGCACATTTACAGTCACAATAGTGCATTAAAAGGGTTTTTCAAACTAAAAAGAACCTTCAAAGTGGGTTAGATTTAAATTCTGAATATTTTCTTTTCATATACAATTGCAACAACTTCCGAACATTTACAATTCCAAAGTAATGTTATTATTTCAACAGGTTACTGCAGCATTTCTGGCTGGCCCAATTCACTCTCTTTCTTGAGTCTCCCAGGAAAACAAAACCAAAACCATTATTTTTTTAAAAGTGTGGAGAAAGTAGCACGATACTGGGGGGGGGGGGGAGGGGGGCAGTGCCCCATGGGGGGAAGGAGTGCACAGCACCAGAGGTGTTCTTTAAGAAATAGTCTAAGATGATTTCAGTTCTACAAACTGAAGGCAACAGTACTAGTTTGCCAGTTTTTCATTAAATTTACTTTTTAAAAATGCTCATCATAAAGTTACTTTAGTGCAAATTAATTATACACTTTAGAACATTAACTTACTAAAATAATACTACCCTGAAAAGGTTTCATGACAACTAAGCCAAATGAATAAACAGACCTAGAAAAAGGCTGCCCACTAGGATAAAAAAACAAAAACAAAAACAAAAACAACCAACAACTTATTATTAAACAGCATAGGAGATAGGTGACCTAATTTGATGATTGTCTACCCCAAGTCCAGTGACTTTCTGGTTCCAAGAACTGGGAGTGATCTATCCCAAGGGACTGTACTTATTTTATCTGCTTTACTGTCAAGGCATTTTCACCAATGCTGATATTTCAGAATTTCAGTTCTATAGAATAGAGAGATAATTTAACTATTTTAAAATATAATACCCACTCATTCTACAGTTTCATCTTTGCATCATGTATTTAGATACAAATTTACTATTTTAGTGCCTTATACTAGAGGTGGTGTTTTTGTTTCCCTTAAAAAATACAAATCAAACACATCATTTGTTCTGTCTCGTGCCTATATCACTCCATACTATATTAAGATGCAGACGAAGATATCATTACTGCACTGAATTAATGATCCCTTAGTGACTGAGTTAGTACCTCCTTAAATCACCTCAGTTACTAGCAAGGGAGTATTTTACACAGGCACTGGGCAGAATCCAAGTTGAATATATCAAAACCGTTACTTGAACTAATGCTGTAGAATATTTTATATATGAGGCCTGCCTCTAAAAATAATGTGACCAACAGTTTAAAAAAAACAAAATATCATAAGATTGAATACATGAAAATGAATGCTGTCCGAAAGCAGTCACCTCAAGTGGCTATATCACTCTTCCAATGATGCTTCCATTGCTCAAAACATTTGTGGACCTACTCTTTTGTAGGTCTTTCCCTTCAAGTTAGTTTGAGAGCTACAAAAATATTTTACTTCACTTACATTGTTTTTACAAAACAAATTCAATATTACCCTTTCAGCAACCACATTTTGCTCTAAATAATTTTCGGTCATTTCCTAAAATTAAACTCCCCCTCCAATAATCAAGATTTTCCACAATGAGGTTATTCAAAGAAGTGTGTGCCATAGATTCTGAAGGCAATGCCAAAAGAATATTTTCAAAAGCATGTTAGGCAATGGCTGCATTTTGGGGTTAAGTGCATAATGTTGAATTAATTTGGATGCATATAATTCAATCATGCTTATTAAAAAATTACTTATGTTACCTTAGACTCACATATAAGTTAGAGAACTAGCATGGTCAGGCCATGGTCAAGGGTTAAATGAGGAACTGTCTCAATGGGTGCAACTTGGTACAATAAAGAAAAGAAACCAGCTAAGTATGGTTTGTATCTTCTTTGTGTTGGTGAATATCCAAATATGACACTGAAGACTGCAGCTAACTAATAGCCTTCAATTTGAAACTCTGGCAGACAAAAATTTTTATATGTTAAGAATTAGAACCAAAACTAGTATTCTTAATTTCCCTTTTTGGTGACCATCTACAGTGTTTATGGATGTCTAAACTACAAACAAAACTTTATGTTCACAATATTCTTTTCAGATGAATAACTTACCCTACCCCCTCAAGAAAAAACCAACAGGAACTACCATGTAAAGATACTAGCACAAACTAATGCTAAATATCTTCTTTGCTGGAAAAGAATTCAAATGCTAAAACACTCACTTATAATGGTAATATGCTTCATCATATTAAACTTTCCCAACTGTAACAGGTAGCTTGAAAGCATACTAAAAAGTAGTTCACTTGTCTACATACTACTACAATCTAATCCCTAAAACTGCATCTTTCAACAGCATGATTGTTCCAATAACAAAAGCATCTTCCATGCCCCTAGTAAATGGGCAGATGTTGTAAACCTTGCTTCAGTTAGTCCTTGAACATCCTAAATGTGCAATACAAACTTCTATTGGAAGGAACAATAAATGGAGATACAATCAGTACCTTCCTGGTAACCTTTGCTTTAACTCTAGAAACCTTTATAAACATTAAAATGCCATGGGAGTAAAAAAAAAAAAAACAAAAAAACAAAAAAACAAAACACCAACCCTACCTCTTTATCTGAATAGCACTCTTCACAGCTTGGTCCTACAATCAGTAGTTTGAGAATAGAGATATTTTTTGTGTAGACTTTATCGTACTGTTCAAATGGTGATTTGAAATGTGTAGGGTTTTGGGTTTTTTTTTTTTGCTTAGTTAAATAAGTTCCATTGAAAACTATCTCCCAGTCCCAGCCTTCCTTACCCAAAAATAAAACAACACACAGAAAAACCTTTATGCAGGTCAAATAGAAATGCAATCTTCCAATATGGTTCCTGAACAGAAAGATGAAGAATAGTTAACACAGCAGCATTGAGCAATGAGTCATTATTGCTGTGGGACCAATACTTTATCACTGGGTAATGCAGTTGTCTCCCATGTCCTGAGCATAGCGGTCTGATATCATAGTCCTTAATTCATCAATCTCCTTCCGTAACTGACATAAGTCTGACAGTTTTTTAGTCAATGATTCCGGGCTGTGGTCATTCTCAGTCTCTTCAGTTGAAGAGCTCATAGCTGTGAAAATAAAATGAAGAAAAGTAGAACTTTCCCACATTTTCAATGCTATTTTGGAATTTTCAATTTTATTACCTCCACAAATATAATGCTATGTGTTAAAAAGTCAAAACTCAGGTAAAAATTATGCATCAATTTTCAATCTGTAAAGAAATTAAAACATCATAACCATTAATTAGCACTTATAGACCCCTAAAATTTTATTTCCATTTTAAATATCTTTCCAGGGTATTCACATAGTTGTTAAACTCATATTCACATATTTGTTAAGTGTTTTTAGTAAAGTATCTGACAAAATTATTCTGTCTTTGTGAGAATATATGATAGTGCAGATACATGAAATTCAGAACTGACTGAAGACTAGATCCCAAAACTTGTCACTACTGACAAGGTGAACTTGAAAAGGTCTCTGTCAGACTGCTCCAGGGATTTCTACCTGACCCTCTACCATTTAATATTTTCATTAATGACTTGGATGAAGGTAGAGACTGAATGTTTGTAAAATTTGGAGATGAAATATAAAGTCACTAGTCAAGATGCTATATATCTAGGATCCAAAAATCTTTGACAGGATAGAATGATACGCTGAATCAAATAGAATGACATTCAAAAAGGATCAAATTTTATTCTTGGGCTGGAAAACAAAACAAAACAACTGTTCCATTACAAAACAGGAGAGGCATAGCTAGACTGCAGCTGGTCTGAAATGACGTGGGTGTTTTTATAGATAGACAGCTCAATCAATGACTCAACAATGTCATCTGGCAGCCAAAATAGTTCCTCTGATCTTTGGCTGCATTGAGATGCATAGTATCCAGAACAAAGAAGCAACAGTCAAAGTGTACGCTGCTCTGGTCAGAGCATATCTAGACTGTCATGTCCAGTACTCTACACTACACCTTAGAAAGGACACTGGGGAGCAGCAAGTGAGCTGGTGAGAGAAAATTAAAAGAACTGAGGGTGCTCATCTTAGAGATGACTTGAGTAGACGTATTAGGGATTAGATTTCTGCTTGGTGGAGGTTATAGAAAGTAAGATTGACACTAAATGAAAATAAACACTTGCTAAGGACTACAGCTGTCTAAAAGTAGGATGGGCTACTTCAGGACACAGGTTCCCACTTACTGTAGGTTTTTAAGCAAAGGATGACTGCTCACTTGTCAAGATAGGATAGAGAAGATTTGCTCAGGTAGAGGTAGGACTAAATGTCCTCTAAGGTATCTTCTAACTCTGAAAATCTGTGCTACTTCACAAGTGCTCTGAACTACTGTACAAGGTATTAAAATTCAGAAAAAAACATCCTTCTGTGTCCTCTCTCTAAACTCAAGCACCTGAATCTTTTATTTGGTGCAAGATAGATAAAAGATGTACGTGCAGAGTGGACAAATCTGGCATGTAGGCATCTTACCTCTTAAAATGCTTTATGGTATGTTGGGTTTAGTGACATCAAAATGTTAACTTCCAAATTAGCTACGTTATTTCCATCATATTTAAAGTAAGAATTACAAGGTAGTACAGGAGAGTAAAAAGAACAATGGTGCTAGTAGTCAGAAAGATGAGTTTGAATCCTAAACATGAGGCAGAGACAGATAAAATAACTACCTATTAAAGTCAGTTTCCTTAGCAGTAAGATGGAGATTTAAACAACAATTTCAACTATTCATCTCACAGTGGTGTCATGAAACTCCTTTGTAAACCTTAAACTGCTCTAAAAATGGGTTATTTTAGTCACAGTTCAACTGCAGGCTTTCACTACTCAACAAGAACAGGACACCAGACTCATTCTGAAAGGGATAATTACTTGATTTTTAACACAGGGATACAGCCCTTCATCACTTGGGTAGATAATTTGGGGCTCATTTACTCCAGTATTCCTCTGTGTATGTACAGAAAAATAAGAATTGCTCCCTCATGTCAATTGCACTATATTAATCCAGCCAATCTCAAATTAAGTTGCAGTCTTTTTCATTTGACTTTCTTGTATATATCATACCCCTATTACATCATGGTCAGTACTAGGTCGTGTCTATCCTACCTGCTTCATATCCATTCTATTTCAAATCCTATAGGACTAAAGACCTTTAATATAAACCATTGACCACCATCAACAACAAAGATTTTTTTTTGGGGGGGGTTGGGTGGGGAGGTGAGAAGGTAGGAGGATCAGGGAGGGAACTGATGGGAAACAGTCAGGAGGCCCAGAGGGCATTTGAACTTTTTACTCAGTAGCCTGTGGCATAACACTCCTATGTAAGAAAGTAGCTGGTTGGTCCACTTACAGCTTCTCTCTCTCTTTACACAAGAAAAGTTGTGTTTAGGACACTAAGGAAATATTCAAATGATCTTTGGGTCTAGAAGTCCACAAAGAGACAAACATCATCCTTCCAGTGAAAGAATACCTTTGTTTCCTCGTCTTTGATGACCTTCAAGCCTCTATAGTTTCCCTGATAAAAGTCCTCCCCTCACAGCTTAGTGGACAGTCTTTGAAAATTACTATGATCAAAAGCTTCATCCCTCTGCACTCAGCATAGCAATAAGCTTATCCAAATGTAACTATGCTGATCCTCTAACAAGAGAGACAGGTTTACTGGCCTCACACTCACCTATCAATCTGCAAATAATTAATGCATATTCACTGAGAAGGGAAATATTATCACCAAAGATCTGTAGGCAACAGAGGCAAGAAGCCAATTCACTCAATGTGACTTCTTTTATTTATTTATGGTTAGGTGATCAATCCATAAAAGTAAGACAGGAAATTAATGACAACTATTCTCAGCATCCTCTTAGAAATTAATAAAATATAATGTTTTAAAGTACCTTAAACAAAGTCACTGGTCACATCAGAAAAGTAAGAACATTTGATTCCCATTCTGGTCACTTACCCTTTGTGTACCTTTAGCTTTCCAGATAATCCTAATTACTCTGAGGCAAGAAAGAAGATTTCCTAATTCTAGCAAAGAGTGAAAAGGGAAAAGAATCTAAAGCTAAAGGTGAGGAGATTAAAGAATCAGAAAATCTTAATAGCAGAAGTGACCTTAGACATCACTTAGGGAAATCCCCTTCACTTTAAAATATGAGGAAACTGAGATCAAGAGAGATTACAAGGTATGTGTGAGGTTAAGTGGCCAATATGAACTTAGAACTGAAGCCTAATTCCTTCTATAGTTCTACTATACCATCCTATGAAGAATAGGTTCTGTCACTGTCTATATAACCTCAGCAAATTAATTCCTCTGTGCCTTAGTGTCTTTCCTATAAATCATAGGTCATGTCTGGTTTCATCTTAATTTGAGGATAAAAGGAAAAAAAGGAGTCATTTTTGTGTTATATAAACCTATATAAGAGGAAACAGAGACCAAATATAAGCAATTCTGTTGTAGTGGACAGATTTTCTGTTTAAGAAGAAAAATGCAAGAATAAGATGTTACTTACATCTGATTCCGAGCAATAATGAAAGATTAGGCTCCTTGCCCTGAGCTCTCTGATTAAGAATACTGCACAATGCTTTCAAGTCAAACAAACAATGGGACATTTCCTTGAACAACTGATCAACCATGCTAAAATTCAATAGTGGCTGTAGAGATAAGTCAGCCTGATGCTTGGATTGTTTCTCTTGCTGTTCTTCTAAGAAAGGAGAATATTCTTCACTTAGTCTTTGGTTCTGCATTGGGGTAAAAGAACAGAGTAAGGAGTTCAATGAAAAGAGATAAACAATTAAAAATACAATAATAACAATTTTAATTAATAAAACATATGGGATGAGTATTCTAAAACAACTACATGTCAATTTAGTGGTGAATTTAATAGTAATCGGCACAATAATATTGGGCTGCAGATGGACTGTCTTCACCAAAAATTAAGAAAGGATCATTTTCATTTATTTTTACATAAGGTAACACTTCCTTAAATGAAAATAGGTAACTCATGTTTCAAATGTAATCTGAGTTTCCTGTACTCACTTCAAGTAATGTTTCTGTTAACTTCATTATAGTCTTTTCTTTTTCTTCTAGCTCTTTCTCCATTTTCTGAGTTGCCAATTTCTCTTGACAAAATTTCTCTTGCATAGACTAGAAAAGAATCAGAAAGGAAGACATGTCAATACTGAAAGCTAAATAGCAAAACTAAGCAATGAGGATTTTTAAATTAATTTGTTCTTTCTTATGGTCCTCCACCCTTCTTGTAATCTTTAGGTCATTATTCCACATAACCAGAACAAGACCACTCACCAGAGAGGTAATATACAAAGCTTTTTCTTATAAAAAGAAAGAAAGAAAAAAAACAAGTATGAAACCTTAAACTGTTATTTAAATATTTTATTCCCAAGAGGTCCTTTTCAATAGCAAAAGTATCTTAGCAACTAAAATTTGTGTTAAATTTTCTTATAGCTAACAAGGTAAAATTATTTTAATCTTTATTTTTCCATTATCAACAATGCACCAAATCTTCCTTCCTCTATAAGCACTATTTTCAGCAGCTGATTTTGCTGCTAAATTCACAAATCAAAGGCCTATTTTAGATCTTTGAAGTCCTATATTCTTTTGTTTTTAAAAATTAGACTATACTTATACAGGCATAGGACACAGAAACATGAAGTAATGTTATTTTTAAAATCTTCTTTACAGCAGCAGGAAGGACATTTTAATAGCATTTGGGTCATTCCTGCTAATTAGTTTAATTTTCAACTATAAACCTAAGAAAAACTTGTCACAAAATCTGCAGTAATTAATGAATGCTGTAGGGCCTCTCATTGACTTAATTCATTGACTATTAAAATCAATACATGTACAAGCATAATTCCTTTGAGCTATTTTTAGAACTATATTCAGTTTCTTTAAAAATACTTCAGAAAAATGATTACTTGAATACCAATTAATCTATTATGAAGGGAATTCCTCTCTCCCCATCCATGACTCCATCTCTGGATTAAACATAAACACAGACAGAATAGATATTAATACTGATTAAATAAAGGCTTTTGGAACGTCAATGCCCTTACTCATTCATTTGAGTGAGTGATGTATTTAGAGCAGTTCATAACTTTTTTGTAGTCATGGACCTTGCGGGTAGTCTGGTGAAATCTACAGACCCCTTCACAAATATTTTTTAGATGCATAAAATAAAATACGAAGGATTACAAAGGGTAATGATTACAATGAAACATAGTTAACAAAAAAAAATTTTTTTAGCAAGTTTATTGATTCCAGGTTAAGAATCCTTGATTTAGAAAGTTTGTTTTTAAATTTAGTCTCCAGGTTGTAACTGTTTACATTCCATAAATTGTAAAGAAAATAAAAACATTCTAAAAGGCTTACAAATTGTGACACATAGGAAATGTAATCCAACAAAGTCTTAGTAATTTGGGTCAATAGGAATACTGTCTATCCAGGAACACATACATTTGCAAAACATCCTACTAAAAGTGAATCTTAAAACACTGAGAGTTCTCCTTTCATGGATGTTTATATAGATACTGAATTCATTTATAACTGTAGTCATCTACATGGTCAGTAACACATGGCATAATTTCACCAGCTGATAATTACTCAACTCTATGTTACATGCCTGGCATATTATTTGGAAAAAATCCAGTGTTCAAAATGCTAGCTTCTGATTACTCCTAACTGCATAAAGATGTTGCCTGTATGAGAATACTAGATTTTTATAGTTGTATGAAACTTAAATAACATTTTCCCTAATCCTCTTATAAGGAACAGGTTTAGTAAGCTTGTAATTTGCCCTTCATAACACTTTAAAACCATAAATTTTTACTGGTTTGAAATAAGTATGCAATACTTATAACTGTGCATAGTTTTCAATTCAACATGGTGCTGAACTTATTCAATAAATAGCAAGAGAGTATATCTGTAGTTAATATGTTGGCATGTATGACTATCCATTCATTATGTGATACACATTCAATCTTCTCTTGATCAAACAAAAGGGGTTATCAAACAAAAGGTGGTATTATTGCTGGTAGTTGTAAGTAGGACAATTGGATTTGGATGATACATCAAAACCAGCATGTTAGGCAAGCAAGATTCAAGGACACTTTGCAAAAAGCAATTTAATAATGGAAAAAATCATGTGCATGAGATACCTCTCCCTGAAGAACCAACTGCTATATGATGTCTAGCTAAGAAAGCTTTTTTCTTCTGATAGATATTATGCTTCACTCAAAGCATCAATGCTTCTCCATTCTGAACTGTGTGAAAACTGCATATAATTTCTTTTTTTAAAACTCTACCAAATGTATAAGCTTTACCAAACTCAAATGTAATGTAATTTAAATATGAAACCAAGGCTCTCTAAAATACGATTGTTAAAAACAAAGCACCATGCTACTACTTACCATTTAAAAAAAACAAAACAAAATAAAACAGGGTATTCCTGAATTAATGAAGAATGCTTCCAATTTCTTATGCACTCTTCACACCTAATGTAAGAACAATGTGTTTAATTTTACTTCAGAAGGCATATATGTGAATGTGTCTTGCTTCTGACTTAATATGAATGCAGTATACTAAGTATTTAATTATTTCTTAGTTATGCTGGGAGGATAGACAAATGAAGATTTTATTTTTCTCAAAGTTTTATTTGCTACTGATCACTGATTAATTTCAAAAAAAAAAAATTTTTTTTTTTCAAGATTTCATGTCTGCTGCAAACTAACTTATTCAGGTCTCCATTTAGAAAGTATTATAATGAATGTTTTAAAAATGTTATTATTGGGGCAGCTAGCTGGCACAGTGGATAGAGCACCGGCCCTGAACTCAGGAAGACCTAAGTTCAAATCCAGCCTCAGACCAAACACTTGACACTTACTAGCTGTGTGACTCTAGGCAAGTCACTTAACCCCAATTGCCTAAAAATAAAAAATAAATAAATAAATAAATAAGTGAAATAAAAGGCATTATTATTGATGAAATTTACCTAAATAAGGTACAGCAGTTAGTGCTAGACCTGTAGCCAATAAGTCATAAATTTAAACCCTGCCTATGATACTTGGAAGTTGTTTGACCCTGGAGGTCACCTAAAATCTCTCACGTCTCAGTGTCCTTACCTGTAAAATGGGGATAATAACAGTGTCTATCTCTCAGGGTCACTGAGTATCAAATGAGATAATACATGTAAAGTACTTTTGAAATCCTAAGACATTATATAAATGTTAACTGCTATTATTATTTGTTCATGAATAAAATGATCCATTCAAATAATTTATGTATAAATCTGTAAAATACAGAAATTTAAATTATCAGTCTATTCACAAATAATTAACATTTGTCAGGCATTTCTGAAACGAAAACTTAAACACTGTTTACCAAATGCTATTCTAAATATCTCAAATCTCTACTGACCTTGTATTTTCCATTTTACAGAAACAAGTTTACTAAGTTATTAGATGCAGGTATTTATTTGGACCATCATTTTCTAAACAGTTGAAAAATGAAGGCTTTGAAGTAAGAAGTTAGGTAGTTTGACACCTGCTTTCCCTACATTAAACAGCTCTATATTAAAAGTGAATGACACACTAGATTTAACGTGAATAACATTCTGTGTAAGCTTATTCTTCTATTTGAGAGTATATATATGTGTGTGTGTGAGTGTGTGAGAAGTATAAACATCCAATTTTGACCTTTCCAAGTCTTTTTTTACATATTGCTCCTCTCCCTGCACCATTCTATCCAGCTATCCAGGTTATTAGCTACAAAAGCTAACAACTGCACTGCAACTTTGGGACACCCTCTATATCAGCAAAACTGAGGAATAAAAGTATAACTGAACATGTAACTCATTTCACTGAGAATATGTGAAAGATTTTCAAAATATATGAATATATAGAGTATAAAATATATGAATATTTATCTTCAAAATGTTAGCCAGATGCTGACTCCTGCCCAGGAACCCTTTTCACATCCTTACCTCTGGCAGGGATAGCCTCTCTGAAGGCCACTTCCCCTTCACAACAGACAATGGTTGTAGACCATCTGCCTATGTCATAGTTCCCCAAGGTTCTTATGGCCTGCCATCTGCCTTCTTGCTTTGCCTGTCAAACCTTAAGTGCCACTTGGTTTTTTCTATTTGCAATGAAACTGAATGCCCCCTCACATATTATCTCACAGAATTAGAATTTGAGCTCCTTTAGGGTAGGGACAGTCTTAGTTTTTCTATCTGCAATCCCAACACTTAGTACAGCACTTGGCGAAAACTAAGTACTTAACAAATGCCTTTCCATTGCATTCAAAACACTTTAAATAATAATAACAACAATAATAAAAACAATAATAATAAATATTAATAGCTAACATGTATTCAGTGCTTTAAGGTTTCCAAAGTGCCTTACCTATTTGATCTCATTTTGATCCTCACAGTAACTAAAATCTCTCAGAGGTGGGTGCAATTATTCTGATTTTATAGATGATGAAACAGGTAAACAGAGGTTAAGTGACTTGCCCAGGGTCACACAAATATTAAGCATGAGTCAGGATTGGAACTCTCATCTTCCTGACACCCAGTCCAGTACTTTACCCACAATGCCACCTATATGCCACTAATCTCACACATGAAACAAAATTTGTAGATTAAATAAAAATGGTAAATTGCCTAATAAAATATTAAATCTTTGGAATTTTAGTCTATTTACTGTTATTTCAGCCTTCTTTTTCCTTCTTTTAATTGGGTTCATGCTAAGTCAGATTTTAAGTATATATTCTAACTAGTATAAAAAAAGAAACTCTTTATCATCATAATAGTTCCTTGAAGCAATACAATATAAATTTCCTTTTAAAATGACAGATATTTGCATAAAAGTATGCTTAGGAAAAAATCTTATTCCTCTAAGATGAGCTTGATGAAAATTAAGTTTTTTACACATTCCAAGTATTTATTTAGTAAAAAGAAAATACCTAGTTCCACTAATTACTCAAACATAAGTTTTGATATGAAAATTGTAATCAAATTAAATGTTGGAAAAGACTGAAAAGCTCAAGGAACAGAAAGCAATTTCAAAAATACAAGAACAAAATTATCTGGAGAACAGTGTTATGACATCTCATTTTGATGAAAGACTATAAAACTATAAAGGGAAATTTTAATATGTACATATATAATGTGTTTGGTTTATTAATAATATATACATACATAACAATAATTATAGCTATAGAGATATGATAAAAGACATCATGTTACATGTTGTATTGTTATATCATATCATCATATTACACTACATCATATTAACTTTTCATATAGTACTCTGCTATATAAAATATTTACTGATAATTATATGTAATCAATCCAGTAAAATAATTACATTTTAACATACCTTCTTTAAAGCTATTACATTTGTATTTTAGCTTTCCAATTTTGAGGTTTTATGCATTGAATTTTTTTAACATTCCCCTCATTCCATGATTAAAATCAAATAGGCTATAGCCCGCCAAAATGATGCGTGGAGAAGAGTAACATGTAAAAAGACAGAAAAGGTAAAAATGGGATAAATATACAAAATACGTATGGAATACAGTGAAGGTAATCTTAGAGAGAAGGCCATAGCAGTGAGGAAAAGTGAAAAAGGCCTCCTGCAAAAGATGGGCTTTGAGCTCCGTACTGAAGGAAGCCATAGAAACACAAAGGCAGAGAGGCAAGATGAAAACATGCTGGGAGAGCCAGTACAAAGTCAAGAGTCTAGGAGTCAGAACATGGAATGTCATGAGAAAAGGACAGCAATTAGGCCAGTGTACCTGGATCCGTGAGTGCTCAGAAAGAAGTGAAAGTAAGAATACTGGGAAGGTAAGAAGGGAACAGGATATGAACAAAAATTTTTTTTTTAATTAAAAAGTATTTATTTTCTCTCTTTCCCATTCCCTCCCCAACCAATTTAGAAGGAAAAACAAAGAACAAAACTCTTATAACAAAGTCTATGATTCTGACTGGTTTTAGCTTCTTAATTAAGATTTAGCATTGTAGAACTTAAATGGGTCCAAAAGAGTACCATACAAAGATTTTTAAAAGGTTGAACAACAAAACCTACGTGAAAAAAGTTAGAGGAGGTAGGATTATTTTGTTCACCTGTTCATTTGTATCTGACTCTATATGACCCCATGGACTTCTTGTCCGTAGGGTTTTCTTGGTAAAGATACCGCAGTGGCTTGCCATTTACTTCTATGGCATGCCTCCATTTTATAGATGAGGAACTGAAGCAAGCAGGGTTAAGTAACTTGCTCAGGCTCACATAGCTAATAAGTGTCTCAGGCCGAATATGAACTCAGATCTTCTTGACTTCAAGCTTGGAGCTCTATCCACTGCACCACCTACCTGTCCCTAGGAGTATTTAGTCTGGAGATATTTTATAATTTTACTCTCATATGGCATTAAACAGTATGGCAATCCACAGCCTTCAATTTCCAGTGAAACAACTAAAGGACAAAAATTCAAAATGCATTATTAAATTTAGACATGAAACATTACAGCAGAATTACAAAACAGGTCTGTGGAAGCTCCTTCTCTAAAGTCTTTAAAATAGTACAGATTTCCATTAGTCTTGAATAATTAATTCAGATCCTACTATGAAGGACAGAATCACAGAATAACTTTAAGGAGTTGAAAGTGATCTTCAAAGTATAGAACAACTAACTGTAGCATAAATCGTTTCTGCAGTGTTACTGACAAGTGGTTGACCCTTCTCCACCGGCAGATATCTGAGTATCTCATGAAGCAGCTCAGTTCATTTATAGATAGTTTTCATTTTATTTGAAAGGTCTTCCTCAGATAAGCTAAAATCTATCTCTCCTAAAACTATAACTATATATTAGTTTTTATATATATATATATGTATATATATATAAAACTATATATAGGTTAATATGTGTGTGTGTGTGTATATATATATATAAAACCTAAAATATATAACCTACATATATAACCTAAAACTATAAACAAGCCTAATCTCCCTTTACCATGAGACAACTTCAAATATTGAAGAGGGTGAACATAACATCCTTTCCTACTCAGTCTTCTCTTCTCTAAGCTAAACATCCCCATTTCATTCACATGATTTCTAATCCTTTTCACTAGCTTAAAGTACTTCTAAAATTGCGGCCTATAATACTGAATGAATATTGTCTATAACATAAAAATCCCTCCTAGTATCTGATTTTATAATCATCTCTTACGGAAACTAAATACAGATAGGCTATTAAAATGCATAAGTTAAGATCTCTCAATAATAAAGCATTTTTATCTCACAATTACAGAAATTCATAACTAATGAAACTCTATGATCCTATGTCCTCTCTGCCAAAAGATTACAGTGATTATAACAAATTAAGTTAATAACTCACTAAAAACAGGTTTATGGAAGTTTAAGCATGCTTCTGAAAAACTATGGGAAGTAATGAAAGCTTCAAAAGTATCCTGACTGCAGCCACCATCTTCTTTGTAAGGGAAAGTTCTATTGAAAAATGGCTTGGGTTACACTGACGCAAGGAAAACCGTAGAGAAAATATTAGCTAGCATACTTTAGCATCTTTACATACATATGTGTATGTTGCTTACAAACATTTCTCTACATGGAACAGACACTTAAGACAGATGAGAAAAAACAATACTAACCAAAATCTTAATAGGAAAATAAAATGAGAGATTTCTAAAAATATAGCACTGTTTAAATGAGCTACATTGAGGTAACTGTTGAGGTGAGTTTTAGAAGCAGCTCAGGGATTCTAAGAGTAGAAGGTAGAAAAGCAGAGCATTTCAGTCACCGGGACCAGCCAGAGACAAAAAAAAGAAAAAAAAAAGGCACTGAATTGAGAGACAGAGCTATATGTGTGAAGAACCACAAATAAGCTGGTATGGTCTGACAGTATAATGTCAGGAGAGTAAAGTACAAGAGGACTGGAAAGAATGGAAGAGACAAAGTTAAAAAGAAAATTAAATGTCCAGAAAGGATTTTGGAGGTGGCTGTGTGGTAAGTTTTGTATTTGATCCTAAAGGTAACTGAGAGACACAGGAGATTTTGTTTTGTTTTGTTTTTGTTTTTTGGGTTTTGGGGGGGGGGGGGGGGGGGTGCCACACATCAGGCTTACTCTTGAAGAAAATCACTTCGGCAGTTATTATGGACTGGAGTGCTGACAGATCTGAGGCAGGGAGATCAATTAGAAAGCAAATATTGCAACTTCTGGGATCCACTTTTCATTTAAAATACTATTCACATACCATCTTCTGCATGAAACCTTTCCTGATTTCCTCAACTTCTAGTGTCCTTTCTCAAACTGCCTTGTATTTAACTAATTGTATATATTTACACTTATTAACTTTATGTCTATGCTGTATATTTTCCATATAATTGTTGTCTTCCCATTAGAATGTAAGCTTTTTCCAAGTAGGATTATTTCATATTTTGTAACTTGTACCCCCATCATTTAGCACAGTACCTGGAACATGTGGCACATGTTGAATGATGGATAGTGTCAGCCAGTCAATCAGTTGATAAACATGTATTAAGTGCCTACTATGTGCTGTGCACTGTACTTAGCACTGGAACAGTGCTTAAGAACGGTTTTGGGGGGGGGAACCTGGGGGCCCCTCAAAGAACTCACAGTTTAATGGGGGAAACAACGTGAAAACAAGTATGTACAAATAAACTACACAGGATAAATTAGAAATCAGCAGAGGGAAGGCATTAGAATTAAGAAAGTTCAGGAAAGGTTTCCTATATAAAGATTTTAGCTGAGACTTAAAGGAATCAAGAGAAACCAGGAGGCTGAAAAGCAGAAGAGCTTTCCAAGCAGAGGACAGCCAATGAAAGTGCCCAGAGTCAGGAGATAGAGGGTCTTGTTCAAGGAACAGTGAGACCAGTACCATTGGATCTCAAGTCCAGGGAGTTAAGGAGATAAGAGTGTAAAAAGAGTGTAAAGGAGGGGTGGGGTACAGAGCTAGGTTATGAAGGGCTCTGAATGACAGAGGATCTTTTTATTTGATCCTGCAGATGACAGGAAGCCACTGACACTTAGTGAACAGGAAGGTGATATGGTTACACCTGTGTTTTAGGAAGATCATGATGACATCTGAGGGAAGAATGAATTGGAGTGAGGAGAGATTTGTGGCAAGAAGAACAAGAAGAAGGCTTGAGGTGATAAGGGTCTACACCAGAATGGTAGCAGTGTCAAAGGAAAGAGGAAATCTTAAAATGCAAATGCCTTACTGGTCAAAGCATTGACAACACAGGTATAATCTTTTAATTACATTTTTATTACTTTCACCCAACCTAAAAATACTTTAAAGAAATAAAAGGAGTGCCATCCAACCAAAAAATACTTTAAAGAAAAAGTGTATTTCTTCATTTTTTTTAAATTCTGAGAACATAAAAACTATTTTTTTCCAAATAGTATTTCTTCATATAGATATACATAGAATTAATGAATTCAAAACTTTACCTCAGCATATTAGGAAATGAGACCCTTGCATACACATACAGATAAACTGCACTGAAGTAATGTGCATTTGATTTTGAAAATAAGTTTCCCTTTCACATTGCAGGATATTAGGGTCATGGCACCCTCACAATCTGGAAAACCAATGTAAAATTTTTTGGCACTCCCTTTGTACTACAGAAGAAGTCTGAATTATGATATAAAGATAAAATGTTGATATTATACAATATTATATGTATATTTTATGCACTTTTTCTGAACTTTTTTTGTGTCATCTGTAGCTTCCGCAAAACTCTAAAATTTCCATTTAATTTCTTATGCCGACCCATGATATATCAAAACAACAATGGGGAAAAGTGTGATGTGGAAGGGATCACCATATTTTGTATTGAACTATATTGAAATAAGCATAAAATATTCCTTACCTGAATTTCTAACAACATTCTGTCAATCTTATTTTGCTGGCTGTCTATTACCTACATAAATAAAACACAAATCAGTCTACAACCAGTTCATTTCTTCTAGTAGTTTGACCAACACAACACTTCTAGACCTCATTCTCATTTATGAAAACTTTAGTGGGATTATTCCCATTGCAAAAGTATTTTGCAATAGGGTAGTGTATTTGCCTAGAAAGGTCAAATAGCTCACTTACACATATCATTTTAATCACATTCAATTTTAAACATTTTTTTAGAAATACATTTAATGCATAAAATTGTATAATCTTTTCTAATTACTAATACTTGTGATCCCTAATTGTATCCCAAGTTTAACTGTATAAAGAACTTAACATTACAAAGAAAACCATTGCTCTTTTGTTTAAGCTGAGAAATAATAGTTTTTTTAAAAAATTAAACATACTATATAATTTCCTCTGCATGTAGAAAAGCTGATTAAATGTTCCTTTCCAAAGAAGAATTAATGAAACAAGACATTATCTAATATAATTACATTAAGTAAACAGGACTTTTCACTTCCCACTCCCACCATTAAGGCTGTGGAACACAACTCATCATGCATATTTACAGTGGAAATGTATGCCTGACCTTACTGGCATTCTCATTTTGTTCTTTGAGGTGATCATTTTCATCCTGAAGTTGTTTTGCATCTAGTATGGGTAGCCGGATACCATCTTCAAGACATCTTTCAACTTTTTGTTGTAAACTGTATCAAAATTTGAAAGACAATTAATGAAAATAAGATTGAATGGCTAATTTTAGTCAAGGTCTCTAAAACAAGGTACTTCTTTAATGTCTATGGTATTTTGTACAATTGTAGATTCTAGAGCTATGGACAAGGAAAAAAGTGCTATATTTGGCTCCAAATATACCAATACGACGCAGCTAAAGTCCTGAAATTCTTACATGCTTATTATGCCTCTTAGCATTCTCTCTTTCATTGTGGCTTTCCTATTTTCTTTTCTGGGCAGCTGGATGGTATAATGAATAGAGCAACAGGCTCATCTACCTGAATTCAAATCTGGCCTCAGACATTTCCTCACTATGTGACCCTGGGCAAGTCACTTAACCCTATGTGCCTTGGTTTCCTTATCAGTAAACTGAGGTGGAGAAGGAAATGGCAAACTATTCCAGCATCTCTGCCAAGAAAACCCCAATTGGGATCATGAAGAGTCAGACACAACTGAAAAATGACTTAAATTAACAACAAATTTTCTTTTCTAAATACCATTTCTAATTCCCAAATTACAGGGAGCAATTCTTCCATATTGTTGCCATTGATTGGTGTATTAGTTGTGTGCAACTCTTTGTGAGTCCATTTGGGTTTGTTTATTTTTTTGACAAAGCTACAGGAGTGGTTTCCATTTCCTTCTCCAACTCATTTTACAGATAAGGAAACTGAGGCAAACAGGGTTAAGAGACTTGTCCAGGGTCACACAGCTAGTGTCTGAGGCCACATTTGAACTCAGGTCCTCCTGAATTTGGGGCTAGCACTCTGTCTATACTGTACCACCTGGCTGCCCAAAAATTCTTCCATGAGGTCTTCTCTAATCCCCTTAACCAAAGTGATCTCTCCCCTCCTATTAACTCTATTTTCTTCTCAAGTTCCAATTTGTTTTTGTTTTTGTTTTTAATCTTCATGTTTTCTCTCTTCCAGAACCATAAGATCTTTAAAAGGAGGGACCAAATCTTAAATATCTAGCATTCTCCCCAAGCACATTGCTTTGTGATAGCTAAAAGAATTAATCTATCTCCATTACTCATATTACATATCTTGGTAATTTTTCCTCCCACCCAATTCACAGATGTGGATTTATCTGCCACATCAAAGCTGAAAGGGGATGAAGGTAAAAAAGAGGAAGGAGGTAGCCCACTTTATCTGAATAAGGTGCTATTCTTGGCTTTGCTACTTATTAGCTAGATGACAGTGGACAAGTCACTTCTCTCTGACTGTAAAATGAGGGGCTATATACTGGGGAAGTTCCAGGGAAAAGTGAAATGGTGCAAATGGAAAGGGTGAGTAGTAAAAAACAAAAAGAAAAAAGAAATGGGTCCAGTCTCTTGCTCTAGCTTGTAATTCTTTGTATGTGTGTTACAAAAAACTACAAAGAAAGAGAAAAATGTATCTTCTATTCTAGCTTGCGGTGAATTATCCTCCCTTTTCTTCCAGTCAATATAGCAAACATGAGTCTGTCTTCTCTTCCAGGAAAGAAAAAAAAAGTGCCATACCTAGAATCTACAAGATAAATAATGGTCCTGAACTGCACAATGACATCAGCGAGTTAACTAGGTCAGGTCACAAATAAAAAGTGATAAAAAAGAATGCACCAGAGAGATTTTATTTATTACTAACGTAGTACTGCTTTGTAGTACTTTATCACCTGTCATAAAAATGTTTCCACAATCAGTCTAAAAATAAAAAGCATAAATACTTTACGTTCTAGAATGGCTTGCTTCCCCCTAATTTAGTATCAAGAGACTACTTATAAGTATTTTTAGGATTTCAAGAGAAACAAAATCCATTACCAAGATTAAAGCTTTTCAGATGAATAGGGTAGTCGGCTGTGAGAATGAAAAAAAAAGTCTGTACCAAGAAGCATGGTAAAAGAGCCCTGGATTTGGAATCAGAGGCTGGAGGTTCTAATTCTGACTTCGCTACTTGGGCAAGTCACTTCCCTTCTCTGAGTCTCAGTTTCCTAATCTGTAAAATGAAAGGTTTGACTAACTGATCCTCAATATCTCTTCCAACTATAAAATTCTATAATCCTATTTTTCTAAATGCAGAAAAACTTTTTTGAACATTTTTATATGATGAACAGTATGACTAAGAATTGTTTTGATTAACAAAGATATTCATTTTATATTATTGTTTCAGTGGCTTTTTATATATTTATTCTAATAAGCAATTTCACAGTATAAATCTTTAAATACCAAGAGACTTCAAGAGTATTACTTCAATGAATTACTTGTTGAAACTGATCAAGGGCTCTGAGAAATATTTCAGAAAACCAAATAAGCCACATAATTGATATTTAATCATACAACTGACAAGTCACAGACTATCACAGAATTTTAGAACCACAAGAAGCCTTGGAGGTCATCTAAGTCCAACACACTCATTTTACAGATGAGGAAACTTAAGGTTCAGGAAGTTCATTTGACCAAATTCACACGCTTTTAATGGCAAAAGAAAAATTAGAACCCAGGCTTTTGGAATCCTAGATAGTGCTCCTCCCAGTGAGCCACACTGTTTATTCTATTTATGTAAATTTTAAAAATTTATTGGCAGACTGTAAAATGTAAACATTTTCCCATTTCAGAAAATGATGGTGGATTCCATGATCATTACTGAATACTACTAAATAAAATAGGTCTACACAAAAAGGCTACTTCAGTTTACACTCAATTCAGAGACTAACAAAATAGTTCCAACAAGATACAAACTCATTTAAACACATCCAAATGTGTTCATTCAACATGAGTACAAAACTCATTTCAGTGGGAGTCAAAAAGGAGAATAAGACAAGCTCTTTGGTTTCACTGACCTTACATTTTAATAAGCATGATGATGCATATACTTTATTATTTATGAAAATGAAACGAGATACAAGTACTATGTTCAGAAGCAGAAGAGAGTACTTCCAGCTAGGGAAGAGGGCAGGGAAAGCTTCAGGAAGAGGCAATATTTGAACTTATTATAAGTTATACTAGAAAGTAAGGTGATAGATATAATCATGTTTCCAAGACCCCACAGATCTCTAACCTTCAAAAAACAGCAAGGTAGGGGAATTACAGACAGCTATACACAGAACAACCATAGCTGAATCTATGGGGAAAAGAAGAAAGAACCCTGATCTGAGAAAATCCTTATGAAGTAACTCTAAGCCTTAATGTGTTCACTCAGTACCCCTCCCCCAATGGGTTCCATGTTCCCATTGCAAGGATATATGCAGGCTTCTAGGCTTGTGCTTAGAATATGGCAAGTACTTATCCCCTCTCCATCTGCAACGGAGACTCTGCTGGCATCCTCTGCCCATCCTATGGCAGAGAGAGAGAGAAAGAGAGAGAGAAGAGAGAAGAGAGAGAGAAAAACTAATTCAGCCCAGGTTTGAGGAGGAAAGGAGATGAGCCAAGAGAGGAACTGGGGAGGAGGCCAATTTTCCTTACTAAAGCTAAGGATACTGAAGAACAGCCGGGCCCAGTCCTGTTTGCTCAGAGGATACCCTGTGCACTCCATTCAGTAAATGATCCTTGAACCTCACAAACATAAAAGAACACAACTGTAAACATAGTGCTCTGTTGCTCTCTAATTTTAATTACCCATGCATGTGTCAAATGACCCTTTCTTATATCTAATAGAAGCAACTTTGCAAAATAGCAAAGGGAAAAGGATCAGAAAGTGACAGGTAATGTTTGTTTTTTGTTTTAAAGGCTGATATACCAAAATTTTCATGAGAAAACCCCTAAATAAAAGTTCAGAACACAATTAAATAAATCAGCACAAAGGCTCTTAAAATCAGAAGGATGACTGCTCAGAGAATACAAAACTCTTAACAATTATTAACAAAACAAACTTGCCCCAACCCTTAAACATATGAATGTCCAAGTTACTTTAACCACATAAAGAAAGTGAAATGAAACTAAGATGAACTGCGCAGTAAGATATGTGATTGGGTCAAGGATGAAAGGATGAAGGTAGCAGACACCAAGTAAAATGAGTGTACATTAGACTGCTGAAATGGACATAAAAGAATCAATCTGTAAGAAATGGAATCCTTATTTTCTCTGGTGAATGTCTATTAATTATCTCCCAAACCAGTGAAATAAGAAGTCTGTGTTAGCACTGAGAAAAGTTAGCAATATTAAATTAATGTTTCTTTTCTCTGCTAACCCCAAACTTTTGACAGCATAACAATGTTGCATTCTCATCTAAAACACTATGCAGATGTCAGTTACGAAATGCCGGCCAATGACAGAACTTTCCATAATGAAATCATACCCCTCTTTATTAATGTCATATCTTTACGACTAGTACATAAGCAGCGATTATTTGTATTTGAATTACTCTATCCAAAACTTCAATTTTCATATTTCAAGAATCTAAAGCCACACTTTAAAAAAAAGACATATTTCATACCTTTGCACAGTGGTAACCAACTCCTTTTCTTTCTTCCGTTGACAAGTCAGTTGCACCTCTTTCTCTTGATACTGAGTTCTGATCTCTCCAAGTTTTTTCTCCATATCTTTTACAGTCTCATGTAAGTTCCTGTTTCTTTCTTCTAAAATCTGCAGCTAAGAGAAAGTGTTTATACTACAAAAGTTAGGATACAATTTAATAGATGCCTATTAGAAAAACTTATTTAATTTTAATTTAATTTTCTCATGAATATAATGTGCATACTAGTTTACTTTCATTTCTTAGAATTTCAGGTGTGCTTCATAGGAAAGGGAGCTTAAAGTATGAGAGCTGGAGTCAAGGCTGGGGAGAAAGAAGAAACAAGAAGCAGGAGAACTTATCATGGCACAGAGACAGAAAAAACCTGAGAAATTTCATCTACTTGGATCTCTACCATCATCACTTTTCATACAACCTCCCATGGAATTTTCTTAGCTTCTTGATTCTGTCTTATCTTCTAACAGTTATATAGCTGTCTAAACCAAAGCATATATCCTCACTCCAAATATACTCCATACATACAACACTCACACCTTCTTGTGAAAAATATTATTTCAGGGGCAGCTAGGTGGCGCAGTGGATAGAGTTCCAGCCTTGAAGTTAGGGGAACCTGAGTTCAAATCCGACCTCACACACTTGACACTTACTAGCTGTGTGACCCTGTGTGACCCTAGGCAAGTCATTTAACCCCCACCGCAAAAACTAAAAAAAAAACCCAATAGTAATACACACACACACACACACACACACACACACACATACACACATATATAAAATAAAATTTCACTCTGGAATAAAGGACTGGGTAGGGATTAGGAGGAAGGCAAAGTGAAGAATAATGGGAAAGGGCTTGAGAATAGGAGGGATTGGGATTGCCTTCAATTATTTTTATAATTTTTAAATTTATATAATACATTGGAGATTTACCCACTCACCCATTATTGGAGATAGAACACTTTACCTCCATTTATATAACATTTAAGGTTCATTATTTCCAATAATGAACATTCAAGACAATAATCAACATTATCCAATAATCCATGTCAGTGAGGCTCAATAATTGTCAGAACGTTTTGAAGCAACAATTTGGGGAAGGAACAGAAGCAGAGAGATATAAGCTAGGAGGAATAGTGACAAAGGTAACTGGCTGGAAATAAACTACTTGTTTGGGATAGTATTAGGAAAAAGTACAGAAAGGGTCATGAGAACAGTTTTAAAAAATCAGGGCTATTGAGAGGAAAAAAAATAGATCTAACTGATATTCTCTGGAATGGAATTGGGGCTCAACAGGAGCCCTATGAGCATTTGTGCCATATAAGTTCATTTGAAGCAAAGTAAATTTTTGATAGGATGGAAATACTATGCATACAGATGTGTGAAGCCCATGATATATTTTAATCCAATAGGAATTAAACAAATGAGATTAACTCACAACCAGACAAAAATATTTCACTTCAATATTTAAATTCATTAATTCTCAAGAAGCCAACTTAAAACACAGTTTCAAAAAAAATGATAAAAAAAACATAGTTTCAATATTTTATTATTCATCCCAATAAAAAGCAAGAGTCCCTTTTTACCTGTTGGCTCTGGTTCTGCACGTCATCCAGAGTTGGCAGGTCAGCCAAATACTTTTCCAAGGTCTCAATTCGTCTTTGTTTCTCTTTGTTTTGTTCAGATTCCTTCTGACATTTCTTTTTCAGGCTACTAATATATCTATCTCTGGTTTTAAGCTAAAAAAAAGAGAATATATGTTTAATTGGTGTTTACATGTGATCAAGTTGCATTAGAATAAATCTATGTTTCAATATTCAAAATCACTGGATCCAATAAGTCCACTTATTTGACTTAACAATAAAACATTACTATAACAATTAATGTATGTGTATATATATGTGTGTGTATACATATGTATACACACATATGCGCATACATACATATGTGTGTACATGTACCGTTACTTACTTTAAGCCAACAAATGCACATGAAGCTAAATCAATAAGGTAACAAGTATTTGCACAAATGTGTATATTTTGTATATTTGCATATGTATAACAGTTATATAATACTATTTGAAAATAATCATTTCTGAAAATTCAATAATCAGCAACAGATCACACAATAATTAAGATCAATAACAGAGATGAGACAGGGAAAAGATTAAATGATAATCTAAAAGGAGGTGATCACTCCTACCACTTAAAGCTCCTAAGGTATTTCTGTGGTTTTTAAAAGCTTATCTATCTACCCTCCAAAAAATAGTCTCTTCCTATACTCAACAGTTTGGTGCTTTGTTTTGGTTTGTCTTTGTTTAAAAAGGCAAATAATCCCATTTTTAGATCTCTTTGCTACCAAGTTTTTCTCATATGAAGCTGAAATTTGCCTCCCTATAATGGCAGGTAGCTAGTGCAAGAAAGAGAGCACTGAATCTGAAGTCAAGAAGACATTAGTTCAAATCCAATCTCAGACACTTACTAGCTGTGTGACTCTGGGTAAGTCACTCAACCTCAGTCAGACTTGGTTGCCTCATCTGTAATATGCTTTTATTAATAGAACCTACCTCCCTCACAAGGTTGTGATGAGGACAAAATGAAATAATATTTTAAAGTATTTTACAAACCTTAAAGTGCCATATAAATGCTAGTTGTTGTTGTTGTCATTTTTACCCTATCTATGACTTCCATCCTCTAGTCCTATATTCTATCCCTTAAGTCTAAGTAGAATAAATCTAATCTCTTTCACAAAATAGACTTTTCTCTTCTGAAAGCTAACTATCACAGAATCAAAGGATCTCAGAGTGGTAACGAACACTGAAGAACATCAAGGCAAACCCTACACAAATAAGAATCCTTTCTAAACCACAGCCAAAAAGTAATAATTCAGCCTCTAACTGAAAGTCTCCAGTGAATGAGAACCTATTATCTCCTCAGGTATGTCATTCAACTTTTAGACAGCTCTAATTATTATGAAATTTTTCTTTGTAGTAAGTCAAAATGTATTTCTTTCTCATTTCTATACAATGTTTTTATTTCACTTTTCCTGGGCTAAACAGAACAAATCTAATCACTTGTCCACATCACACCCCTTTAAATGTTTTTTTTTTGAAGGAGAAAAGATCTGGCTAGTAACCTAGCCTAATCCTGGGCAAATTTCTTCTTGATTCCTATTGTTGTTACTTCAAATTAGGTGTACTATCACCCATTTATATCAATCGATCTTCAAACTGTACTGCATTATAAAGGACTTTCTAAACTCTAGTGGCTCTGCAGTCTGTCAGAACAGGGCTCCATGGTAGGTAATGGGAATTAAAAGACAAAAAGGAGTACTGACTCACAAAGAGTTTACATTCTATTGGATGATCCGAAGTGGGAAAGAAAATTAAAAATGGCAAAAGATCATGAAGTTTCCTAAAAGAGGTAGCAGTTAAACTAAGCTTTGAAAGAGAGTAAGGATTCTAAGAAGTGGACCTAAAGCATGAATGTGATCATAGCACAGTAGGGATGTGAGACATGGAATGTTCAGTTCAGGGAACAGCAAGTAATCTAGGATGGCTGGATATGAAATCAGTCTGTACAGGTAGGCTGAAGCCAGTGACTGGAGGACTTTTTTTTAAACATATCAAAGTGAAGACTTTATATTTTGCCAATGAAGATTAACGAATGGGAAAACTACTTGATCAGATTTGTGGCAGGTTATTTTTGTCAGCTGTGAGGAAAATGTAATAAACTGGTAAAAGCAGAAACAGATCCCTTAGGAGGCTATTGCAGTAATCTAGGTGACAGTTGATGAAGGTGGTATATAGTAGCCGTGACAGTAAAGAAAGTGAAATTTGCAAGAGATACTGTAGTAGTGAAATAGACAAGCTATGGCTACTGACTGGCTACTGGTACTGAGGGAAAGATAACAGTCAAGGAAGTCTGGGAAATCATGAACCTAAGTAAATGGAATGAATGTGCTGCCCTAAAAAGAAATAGGAAAATTTGGTAGAGAAGCAGTTTAGGAGAGAAGATAATGAATTTCATATTGGATATGCTAAATTTGAGGTACCTGCAGTAAATCAAGGTAAATAAGCAGATAGCTGGTGGTGCAGAACTTGAGATCAAAAGAAAGATTAAAAGATTAAATGCTGGATATATGGATTTTGGAATAACCTGCATAGAGATGATTCCATGGGAACTGATGGTGTCATGAAGATGGAGGTTTGCAGATGGAAAAGAAAAAAAGTGTCACACTGTTTGTTGGCTCACACGAAGGTTAAAGTCCACTTAAAATACCCAGTCAGACCTTTTTCACATGAACTATTGTCTAGGAATGCCTCCCACGCTTGTACTTGTGAAATTTACTTTATTTGGGGGTCTAAGTGTAAGACTCCATATTCATATAAACTAAATCTGGCTTATCATTCCAGTCTGTCACAATTTCTGGATTCTATCACCTAACATGTTAAACTAACCTTTCTTTATCTGAAAATCTGACAATGACATGTATTAAGTCACTGACAAAAAGGTTAAATAGGAATTGATGAGATGACATAGAGAGAATAGAGAGAAGAAGCCAAGGACACTCCATTCGAAAGTTTCCTCTCAATACTCTTCATAAATATAACATGAAAAATTCTTTGCTGAAATATAGCTATATACTATGTTTCCAGCATACAACTTATCTACCAGTTTATCAGATCCATCCAGTCAAAAATGGAAGGGAATTTAGTTTGGCATGAAATGTTCTTGATGAAGGCATGCTACATATTTGTAATCACCATATTTCCCTTCCAGATGATTGAAAAAAAGATTCTTTTAAAATTGCATCATAAGATTTTTAAAGGAATTGAAAACAGCCTCACTGGCAAATGGTTTTGTGACCTATAGTGTCCATCATTGTTGTGCAAATCTAGACATTATCCAGCTCTGTGGTACCTTTCCTTTTTTCCATGATCTTCAAATCACTGACAGTGGCTCACCAATAATATCCTTCAGTTCTTTCAGAACTCATGAATGAAGATTATCCAAGCCTGGTTACTATAACTCAAATTTTAAGTTTTTTCCATTTTAAGTGAAGCTATTTTGACAAAGTAGGGTTCAGGTAAGGGAACCAGGTTTTCTTCCATACTTTTTAGAAAACATTTCTGTTTGATATGCCCAGGAGATAAAGAATCCAAAGAGCTTCTCTATTGTTACTGACGTAACACATTATTGGAGATTCACCCTACAAGATAGAACACAATTAACCCTAAATGTTGATTAATAAAACTGTATTTAGCCGACTGGTCATAAAAAAACCTTGAGCTAAAAGCAGCAACCATTAAGTGCACTGACTATTGTTTCTACTCTCTAGTTACAATGCATACAACAAAGAAAATCCGTGATAGAACCTTCTAAGTAGAGATATTATATAGGTTTACTTGTATAGGTGTGTATTACTTCATGGAAGGCAAATAAGAGAGAGAGAGAGAAAATAGCTTCAAGTGCACCATGAAGGTAAAGCCATGTTTTGGGGGAGCCCAAACCTGGTTGAATGCAGAGAATACATTGATGCCTAAATCCACTATAACTAAGAAGTTTAAAAGAAAGAGCAATGGTTCAACATCAGGAAACCTGGCTCTAAAACCATCTCTGCTACTAATTACCTATGTAACATTAGGCAAGTCATTTAAAGTTTCTGTAGGCTAACCTTATTCAGATATAAAGTAGGGATATCAACTCACAGGGTTAGGATAAAGATGAAATAAGATCAGAAATGTGCAAGTGCTATGAAAAAAAAGTTTAAATCCTATATAAATAGGATAAAAGGAAAATAGATATAGTACTGGAAGATATTTTAGTGCTCACCTAGTACAATTCACTCATTTTGCAGATGAACAGACTTGAGGCCCAGAGATAAAATTCACACATGTATCAAGTGGCAGAGATAACATCTGAATTTAGGATGTTTAAATCAAAATATATTGTCCTTTTCGCTATATCATATTGTCTTCTTATCTCAGAAAATAAGAGTTTCTGCTTGGCCAATGATTTCAAATTGAATCTAAGCAAATCTTATACATGGAAAACTTAGCCTGATTTCATTCTTCCTGGAAGCAAGACAGAGATGGAAAATGATAACAATAGAGGGGAAAGATTATTATTCCCATACAGGAGAAAATAGTTTTAATGGTAAAATTTTGGCCCTGGCAACCAACTTTAAAAATGATACATACTGGTTACAAAGAAATAATTTAATATTTCTATATGTCCAAGGTGTACCAAAAGTCTCAGTGTAGTTTTAAGTTTTAATAGCTTAAATATTGTACATTCAACACATTTTATAAAATAAGTCTACTATATGCTCATATATTATATCAACACATACACATGTAGGGTTCTTGCTCCCAAAGGAAGATTTCAAGATTTCTCTCAGGTCTTGGCAACCAACAAAACAAATCAATTCAGTTTAAGTGGCCACTACACTAAGAGACAAGAAAATTAAACACCAGAAAAAACGTTCACCTTCTCTTCCAGTTTCTTCTTCTCTTCATTAGATTTGCTTGCACTTTGCTTGAGAAACTCATTGAGTTGTGAAAGCTCTTTTTCGGCAGAAGCAAGCTTTCGTTCGAGTTCCTCATGTTCAGGGCGAGATATTGATTGGTCAGGAAATGGAGCCTGAAATGAAGCGTTATCATATTGTGGTTGCTAGGTGAGAAAGACAAAAGAGGGGTTAAAAAGATTTATTATTGTCTTAATGACCCAACATGAATCTGAAAAGAAAAATACAAATCAGTTTTATCTTACGCTTCAGTATATTCATATAGAACTCAAGAGTTATATGAGAAATGAACACAATGAAAGGGAACAGTTTGTCTCTCTAGATACAATGGTGTTAAACAGTACAAACAATTCTATAGAAACAAATGTAGGACACAAATATTTCTTCAAGATAAATCACAATTTTGAAAAAATTATTCAAATATCTCCTAACGGAGCCTCACTAGAGCATGAATCCATAGAAGTTAAACTTCAGAGTCCAACATCTGGATTCAGAGGACTTGGGCTCAAAATCTGGCTGTTATTCACTAACTATGTGATGTTGTGCAAAACAATTAGCCTTTCTAGGTGGAAATTGAGGTCCCTTTCAGTTCTAAAATACTATGACTCTAAATCTGAACTACATTACTATTTTTTAAAGTACAGAGAACTGTGATTTCAATTGAAAAGAAACATTAATCCAAATCACAATGAGAACTGAAAATAGGTATTAAGTTTCATCCCATAACCTTCAAACCTTCAAACAGAAAAGATAACACAAGACTGAAATGGTCCATGTTGGAGGGGCTGTGCAAAGACAGGAAAACTAAGAACCTGCAGGGAGACTTGCCAGACTATCTGGAAAACAACTGTAATTATTGAGCAATTAATAGACATTAATTGGCTAGGTGTCAGGTGCTAGAGACAAAAACACAAATAGTTTCTAGCCTCAGGGGATTAGAGAAACACAAAGCATATAACTAGGGAGTCCAGTGCATAGAGTGGTAGACTTATAGTCAGGAAGACCTGAGTTCAAAGCCTGCCTTAGATACTAGCAGGTCACTTAAGATCTTTTGATCTCAGTATTCTCATCTATAAAATGGTGATAAGAATACCTACATTTTAGGTTTGTTGTGAGGAGCAAATGAGATAACAAATGTAAAGTACTTTGCAAGTCTTAAATCACTATATAAAAGCTGATTCTCATTACTATCTACAACTCGTATGCAAGAAAATTCACCAAACTTCATATTCTTTGATCTGGCAATCTCACTATTAGACAAATATGTCAAAAGAGGTCAAAGAAAGGACCGGTAACATATACACCAAAATACCTGTAACAGCATTTTATACAGTAGAAACTAAAAACAACGTAGGGCCTATCAATTGACATTGATAAACAAATATTAATACGGCTAAACAATATGTTCCACGACTATATAACAGTAACTACATGAAAAGAAAAACATCAAAGATTCAAAGAAACACTGAGATGACTAGATGAAATGATGCTGAATTAAGTAAGACAATTAGAAGAACACCACATAAAGGCTGTCAAGCTCTGATTAATTTTATTCACCAATATTGGTTCTGCAGAACTAATTTTTGAAGTATCTTCCTCTTCTTAGTATGTGGGGTTCTATGAGTGAAGAAAATTATGCTGTCAGACTCAGTCATTTTGTCAATTGCTTTTACATAAATATTACTCATTAATTTGAGGATTAAATGGGAAGTTTAATGGGCAATGGTTCATTCATTTGTGAAAAGGAAAAGTAACAATAACACTTAAAAATATAACTAAAGCAATCAATCTTCAAAAGAGTCAATATTATTATTCTATATGAAGTTACCTCTGCTAAAAATTAATAGACTATAAAATACCAGGCTCAAATTAGATGGGGAAAGAAGGTCCCCCATTTCATTAACAGCTATTAATGAAGAACAACAAAGACCACATATACTGTTTGAAAGGAAAGACAAACAAAACATCCTCCTTTCCTGCCAAAAAAAGAAACAGAAATTGGCTTATCAACAGTTCTTAGTGATAAGAATAGGTAAGCTTTTTACCTTAGAAGTAAAACTTCTAAGTAACTAAGTAACTTTTTATCACCTATACCAAGCCAACATTTTTTTAAAATAAAATTAAAAGATGTTGTTTCATCTCTTCACAGAGGACAAATCTGGTCATTATTTCACAACTTGTGGCCAAAATATTCACCCCAATGTGGCCAACCAGGTTATGAGTCTCCCCAGACATAACTAGGCTGGCACACAGATGAGACAATTTATACTTTCTCCAAGGCCTTTCTACCTTGGTAGGATGTACCAGAGCTTGAACCTATGAAAACTCTGATGCCAGTCAAAGTTTTGCACCATAATGATGCATCAGGATAGGACCTGAGTGGACTTATATATTCTCCTATAACAAAGTGTGCCCTTAAGATTTCTAAAGGAAGGCCTATTTAAACAGTTATCAGCAATATACCTACCACTTGGCAAATGCTGGTAAAAGGTATTAAACAAATCTAAACCTTCTTTTCTTCTTTAGACCTATCTACCACTAAAAGAACATAAGGATCTTTAAAGCTTTAGGATGAAAGCCTCAATTCTCTACTGACCCAAAAGATATGGTTTCTTTTGTCTTTCAGATACATGAATGTTCTGCTTTCCTCAATCTACCTTAAATTATCAATGAGTGGCACAGTGATAGTGTGTTGGACTTGAAGTCAAAAGACCAGCATTCAAATCCAGCATCAGCCACCTTACAGCAATGTAACACTGGCCAAGTTACTTAATTTCTGTCTGCCTTAAGTTTCCTCATCTGTACAAAGGGGATAATAATAGCCCCTACTTCCCAGGGCTATCATGAGAATCAAGTAAGATAGTATTTGTAGAGTACTTTGCAAACTCGAAAGCACTATATAAATGCTAGCTATTAAAAAAAAAAAAGAAATTTTTAAAATACAATCTTAAAGGAGTTCACAAGACAATTTATCTTTTACATATCATATCTGATGAAAACTACTCTAGATCAAATACATACTATTTCTTTGATCAACCAACAAGATCACTTTTGCTATTGGAGAGAATTAAAATAATCAAAGGCACAGAGAATTGTAGAATCACATTTATACTCTTATAATCATACTTTTACTTAGTTTTTAATGAAGAAAATGAAATTATGCTAGGTTGTAGATAATTTGCCAGATGCTTAGTCCCTAGAATTATTCACAAGATGATCTTCTGACCTTAATAAATTGCTCTTATTTTTCCAAAGGGGATTTATTTATAATTTCTTCTAATTTCCCAGAAAACATTCAAAATCCACCTATCACATTTTTTTAAAGGCAATCTTTTTTTTTTCAGTATTCTTTTGGGGTATCCTCCACACCCCATCCCACCCTCACACCCACCCCACAACTTATCCTTGCTTCCTATCTTAGAGAGCCCTCTGCTGGATGGATGCTAATGCCTTTAATACTTTCTTCACCCTTCAAATTACACATTCACCATCTTGATTGCCTAATTGTAATTCAGTTTTAGAATACTAGTATAAAAACACTGAATCAAAATATTTAGAAAAAGTGAAATGGTTCTGATAAAGGGGGAAAATGGTTGCTATTGTAATCTAAACATATATACATACATATATATATGTGTGTGTGTATATATATGTATATGTATATCTCTAAGTACATTATCATGGAACCTCCCTAGTGATACCTCCTTAATCAATTCAGTATACCACTCACAAGAGCAGCTATTTCAAACCTTTTCACCTCTCAAGCCTTCCACAGAACCTCTTCTTACCACCCTCTTGGATAAAAACTTCACCTCATACCTCACCAAAAAAAAAAAAAAAGAAAAAGCTCCCTCTCCTCCCATGACTCAAACTTCTTCTACCTATTCTTCACCTCTATCTCATGTGAAAAGGAGACCTTTCTTGTAATCCCCCTACAGATACCCTTGATCCCATTCCCTCTTCTCTGGTTGATTACTCCACTAGCTCCATTGTCTACTCTTCAACCTCTCCCTATCTGACTCTTTGCTGCCTACAAACCTGCCTATATGGCATCCCATCTTTAAAAAACTCTCACCTGATTCATATCCATTAGCTAATGTTCTCTATCTCTCCTCTTTCTTGGCTACAACCCTTGAAAGAGCTGTATATACTAGGTGCCTCCACTTCTCACTTGATCCTAAACCCTCAACTAATTGGCTTCCAACCTCATCATTCAACTAAAACTGTTCTCTCCAAAGTTACCAATGATCTTATAATTACCAAATCTAATGGCCTTTGTTCAATCCTCATCTTCTTGACCTCTTCAGCCTTTGAGACTAGTGATTTACCCTCTCCTCTTTGACGCTCTCTTCTCTCAAGTTTTTTTGAAACTACTCTTTCCTGGTGCTCCTCCTCCTATTTTTCTAACTGTTCCTTTGCAGATTCTTTGCTGAATCTTCATCCATGTCATACCCACTAATGGTGAGTACCTCCAAGGCTCTATCCTGGCCCCCCTTCTCTTTTCTTTCTATAATATCTCACTTGCAGTTCTTAGCAGCTCCCATGGGTTCAACTATCATTTATAACGATGTGTTTGTGTATATGTCCTACTCCTTCTAGGTTCCCATCCCACCATCACAGAATGCCTAATGGATATCTCAAAGTAAATGTTCCACATGCATTTCACAGTCATTATGTACACAATACAATTCATTATCTTTCCCCCAACCCCCTTCTTTTCCTTCCAAACTTTCTTAAGAGTGGAATTCAGGCTCACATTCCAGTGTTATCATCCAGTATTTGCTAGCCTCACACTCAGTATCCAATTTCTTTCCAAATCTCATTATTTCTACTTATACAACATCTCTCAAACAAGTTTCCCCTTCTTTCTACAATTCCAATCCTAATGAAGGCCCTCATCATCTCACATTTATACACAAGGGTGTGAGGGTTGAGTTTCTCACCAGGGCCATCCATCCAATCTCACTCAGCCACCAATGTGATACTCTTAAAGTCCAGGTCTGACCATGTCACTCCCCCAACCCAACCCAACCCCCAAACTTGATAAATTTCATTGGCTTCCTATTAACCTACAAGATCAAATATATAATTACCTGTTTGGCATTCAAGGTCCTCCACAACTTGGCCCTTTCCTACCTTTCCAATCTTCTTACCAGAGAAAAGTCTTACCTGCAAACCTGCAACATAAGAATCTTCACAATTCACGTAATGACCCAACATGGCGTGTTGTGCTCGTAATTCATTATCCCTGATCCTCTGATGTAGATTGGAAATTTGTTGTTTCTGCCTACAAAACAGAAGTTCAAGTCTGGTTACCCAAAAAAAAAAAAAAAAAAAAATGTAAATATTTCTCAAGGAAAGTTCTCATTTTACCCTACTTACAAGGACATGAAATGAACTTTAAAAACTTTTTTTATTAAACCTTAACATAAAAATTTCCACATACAAAAGAGATTGTGTATGAAACCATGAGTTGATATTGCATACAACTTATTTTTAAATTATATGTTAAATTTAACATGAGAGTACCAATATTCCCTTGGCTTGTCTGTGTTCCCTTCTCAACTTCCTTCTGTTTTGTCATTTTTAATGTTCCATTGACACTTTTTTCCTTTTTTCTTTCAGCATCACAATTGCTACCTGCTTAGAACTTCGAAAACTACCCCCCCAATGCATCAAAGAATAAAAAGTAAATAAAAACTAAGGCCTTCCCTTGTAATAAGTAAGCATAGTCAAGAAAAACAAATTCACATATTAGTCATGTCTGAAAATGTATGTCTCATTCTGTATGTACAGTTTATCACTTCTCTGCCAAGACCTAAGAATTATGCTTTATTACCAGTTTTCTGGAATCACTGATCAAACTGTTTAAAACTTGTAAGAGCTGTTTCCTTTTCTATTATTCTAAATGTTATTATGGTGCTGCTTCACTTCATACAAATCTTCCAAGGTTTTTTCTGAATTCATTCCTTTCATCATTTCTCAAAGCACAATTACACCCCTCACATCCTTTGGGAAATGTATTCCTAATTTAGCATATTATTTAGCATCTTGATTTACCTTTCAACAAAATGCACATCCAACAAACAATGGAGAAGAGAAAATAGGAAAATAACTAAATCATCAATAAATAAATTCAAGGGGCAGCAAATAGAGATCTGGCCTTGGAGTCAAAGGACCTGTGTTCAAATCCAGTCTCAGACATATGACACTTACTAGCTGTGTGACCCTGGGCAAGTCACTTAACCCCGACTGCCTCACCAAAAAGCAAAAAATGAATGAATGAATGAATTCATAATGTTTTATTAATTATTACATTCTCATTTTGCTAAAATAATTAAATCATCAATAAATAAATTCAAAATACTATATTAATTATTACATTCTCATTTTGCTACATTGGAAAATGCTAAGTTTAAAGGTATATTAAGATTTAGATCTCTGTCAAATCAGCAAACCATTTATTAAGTACCTACTATGTGCCAAGCACTGTGTTAAGTTCTGGGGATATTAGAAGGGCCAAAATAGTTTCTGTCGTCAAAGAGCTCACCATCTAACTGGAGAGACAACACGTAAACAATTATGTACAACAAGATACATATAAAATAAAAATTGGAGATGCCAGAGGGAGAGTACTAGCATTAAGGAGGACCAACAAAGGCTTATTGCCAAGAAGGTAGGATTTAATATGAGACTTTAAGATAATTAGGAAGCAAAAGTGAGGAGAAAATTCCAGATCAGAGAGACAGTCAGTGAAAATGCCTGTAGTCAAGAGATCAAGAGCTATTGTGCGTGGAACAAATAGGAGGCTGAAGTCAATGGATCAAAAAATACTTGGAAAAGAGTAAGGTGTAAGAAATTGGTTAATTAAAATCCATTGGTCTGCCCTGCACCATGAATGGACCTTTTATCCATGTATAATTTTGTACCATCATGCATTGGTCATTTGAAAAATACAGGTGTGCTTACTTATATACCATTCAATTGTTGACATGGTTCACTTTTTTTTTAAAGTCACTTTCATTAATATCACCACCAATCTCAGCAGAAAAGTTTTTAAGTATTGGAAAGCTGTCAAGCTTAGGGTAATTGATATACATTTTCCAAATATGATTTTTGTTTTGAAGTTCAACAATTAACTACTATTCAACTATTAGCAAATACTGTCAGTTGTCTTCCCTGAAGTGACAAGGCTGCTCCATTCATTTTTGAGAAAATGCCAGAGTAAATTCCCAAATCTGAATAACCATAGTTTGTGTCAGTCATTCTTCAATGTAAAAATGGTGTTTGCACGAAAAAAGGTGATAGGTCAGTTCACAGGTCAACACATGTGCTTTTCCTCAAGATGAACTTCCCATTTTGACCAACAGATTATTAAAAAGATCTATATTTGATGGTCAAGAAATAATAAGTAATTTTTATTTTCTTCATCAGGAGCATTCAAGTGAAACTAGTATTTTTTTTTTCTTAATTACCAGTGCACGATGATGAAAAATACAATGACTACTGATACAGTTTCGGGTCACTACTTTAATGCGAGTAACGGAGCCAGCAATTTTACCCACCTTTTACACCACTGAATCATTGAAAAATATCAAAACAATTATTAATTAATCATAAAATTAAAAAACTGATTAAACATTTTGAATATTTCACTACCGTGTGTGTGTGTGTGTGTGTGTGTGTGTGTCTGTGTCTGTGTGTCTGTGTGTGTATCTCTAAACCTTCACTTTTTCTGTGATTGCTGATACTGGATGAGCATAAGGCAAAATACCAAGTACAGTTATATCTGTAAATGTGTCCTTTTGGAAGGCCTTAGTGCAATCCTGCAGATGAGATATTAATTCAGTTTTAATGTTTGAGGCTAAACTTTTAAGTCACAAGTCATATGACATCTAGAAAATTCCACTGTAGACTCATGAAAGAATGAGAGAGAAAATAGCATCTTAATATTATTATGAAAATAGTTTTCACTGGCGCCAAGTGTCAGGAACCCAGGGGTCTGTAGACTACACTTTGAGAATTGTTTTTATAGAGGTTTTAGGATTAGGACATAGCCTTGGGGAACACCTAAAATTAGCAGGAGCAGTCAGGATGAAGATTTAGCAAAGGTGATTAAGGAGAAGACAGACAGGTAGAAGGAGATGCAGGAGAGAAAGTATTATTATGAAGATCTAGAAAAAAGAGGGTATTCAAGAGAAGGCCAAACATTAGGGAAGGACCTTCACTAAAGATCAAGTAACACAAGAAATTAAAGATGTGCTAAGAAGTAATGGTAGGGGGAAGTCTCGGGAAAGAGATAAAAAGTTCAAATTTCGATGAACAAAGCAAAACAGAACTAGTTGTGACAAAAGAAAAAGAGGCATTAAAGACAAAGGGAAAAATAATTTCAATATTCTGAAACGAATCCAGGAAGACAAGTAAAAGGTGGGAAGATCAGGAAAGAGGAGTTTACAGACTAACAATTGAGAAGAGGAAAGCAAAAGCAAGAGATGAAGATTTAGTAGAAGACAAACAGGAAAGGAAATATTTTACAAGACATTGTAAAAGATGATTTGACAGCATTAACATAGTAGGGCATCTTCTTTCTCAAAAAAGCTTTTAAATAAGGTGATCTATCAACTGTCTCATGGCAGTTGACATAATAGTACATTGACCCCCATCATTCCCACTATTTAAGATCAAATAAATGTATGAAAAAGAGGAAAGATACATCATGAAAATTCACTGCTATCTTCAATTTATGCACGAATTAAGTTTTTTAAAATAAGGATACAATCTAGATTTGTTTTTCCTTTCTTTTTTGTTTTTTTTTTCCTGTGAGCTCTATTAATACAAGAGAATTGAATGAATTACATAGATATAAAATTGTTATTTAGGCAACAATTCATGCTACAGGATGTAAAATCAAGTCAGAATAAGAGACAAGAGCATTAAAGGAAGAGCTAATAAAAGTTTGCAAAGCCTATGGAGACTTTCATTTTCAGTTTTTATAAAAAAAAAAAAGATTACTTTTTTTTTTTTTAAGTGAGGTGACCGGGTTTAAGTGACTTGCCCCAGATCACACAGCTACTATGTGTCAAGTGTTTGGTCTGAGGTCACATTTGAACTCAGGTCCTCCTGACTTCAGGGCCAGTGCTCTATCCACTGCGCCACCTAGCTGCCCCAAAAGATTACTTTTTTAAAAACTATTGTTATTTTGTTCTTACATTACTCATATTTCCCATTATATTAGTTAGCAATTATATACAACAGGAAAGGGGAACCTGCAGCTTTAAGGCCACATGTGGCCTTCTAGGTCTGTAAGTGTGGTCTTTTGACTGAATCCAAATTTTACAGAAAAAAATCCTTTTATTTTTATTAATATATTTTTGTTCGTTCTCTATACTTATTTTGTTTTTAGAATGAATGTATTTAAAATACCAAGGAATAAATTAAGTTTCAACAAAGTAATCCTCTCAGATTGACTTGCACAATTAGAACATTAGTAAGCCATAAAGGCTAAACTGACAGCTGTTACGCTTATTATATTTCCCCTACCTGACTGGTGCTACTACAACATCAGACCAGTTGGTGATATTTTATGAGTTTCGAGTAGGCCAATCTGTTATCAGCTTTTGACAACAATGCACTGTGTTTCAGTTTGAAGTGGAATTTGTGAATAGTTGCACACCTCAACAATATTTTTTAATTCTATCTGCTTAACAGCATGTCATATCAAAGAAGACCAAAAGAATGCTGAAGGAAGAAAACAGATTTTTTAATTGAGGATTGGGAATTGCAATATTACCTTATTTCTGCTAAAGATAAGATGATTTTCTTGCTCTGTGATACTACAATGTCAATATTAAAAAAATTCAATGCTCATCAGCATTATAACACTCATAAGCACCACAAATACTTTAAACCTGAGGGAGAGGCACAAAAGGTTGTATTACAGAAATTAAAAGATCAAAAGCAAAGACAATTCTTTGAAGCAGCTATAAGACCTGGAAATAATGCCACTGAAGGAACTTATAAAGTAGCTTATATACTCAGGAAAAAAGGGAAACCATTCAGTGATGTAGAAATTATGAAAGAATGCATTGTCAAAGCTGTAGAAAGCTTAGACCCTGATAATGTTTCAAAGTACAAACAATTACCTCTTTCAAGAAGAGCCACAACGGACTGGCAACATGAATTAACCTACAACTTAACAAGAACAACTTCATGCAATAGTTCAAAAGGAAAATATATTATTATTCAATCACTTTGGATGAATCAACTGATGCTACTGACTCAGTGCAG